CTCATATCGGAAATTCGCTCCACTTCGTATTCATCTGGATCCCGATCGTGGAACCAGCTGTCTTCAGGTAGGAGAGCCTCATCAAAATCCACCCGGTCTCCTTCTGACCCGTTCAGACGAGCTACTGGTCGATCTGGGAATACCTTGACCAGTTTGATCTTCGACACACGCACCACCGGGAAAATGCCGTATGTGGATTCTGCAACCTCCAATCACACTGCGTATTCTCCGATTTTTTCAGCAACGCGGAAAACGGACCATGCCATAAGTGTGCCAGCTTTTTCGCATATCCTTCACGTACTCGATCTAGGTACAGCCATACCCTTGATCCAGACTCTACAGGATGAGGACGTGCTAAATCATTATGCGCATCGGCCCGATCCGCAATCGCCTCACGCAGACGTTGGTTCACTTATTCTCTGGCCTGCTGATAATACTTTTGCATCCGATATCGCCATCTTCTCGGATCTCGATCGTGCCTACGAGTGCTTCCCACCGGGATCACAGCTTCCAGGGTAGATCCAGGATCCCAGCCATGTATCATATAGAAAGGCGTTTCACCTTGGATCCGATCTCTTGCGGTATTGATCGCAAAGGTGAGTCGTTCGGCATACTCGTCCCAATCTCGTTGATCTAGATCTTCCACATACATCTTCTGGTAGTTGTCTGGACCATACGTTCTGCAGATCCATTAGCTTGGGGTCGATACGCCATGGTAGCCCGTTGGCGTTGCCCCCGGATCTTGTTAAACGCCTTAAAGACATCAGACATAAAGCCTGGCTCCCGATCGTGTCGGATCACATTGTTCGCGCCAAACCGACGAAAGACACATTCTTCGTAGGTCTCGGCGATTGTTTGAGCTGATCTGGAGGCGCTGGCTTTGGCGATCACATATCCCGAGCATAGATCCACGAAGATCAGCAATTCTGTGTTGCCGTTGAAGGATCTAGGCAATGAAGGTATGTGATCCATGGCAATGATCTGAAATGGGTACGTTGCCTGAAGGTTACCGGGTGACTTGCCCTGTATCCGCGGTCTTCCCTTGCCTGTTTTACAGTCGACACATTTTCCCACGTATCGATGTGCACTCTTATACAGACCTCTCCAGTGGAAGTGATCACGGACCGATCATAGGTGCGACCGACCCCGTGATGACCACCCTGTAGACTCGTAGTGGTGCAAAAGGTCCTGTTGAAGGGTCTCAGGTATCACTAGTCGCATCAACTTGTCTCGATCTGCGGCGGTTTCCTTAGTCGTAGGGCAATAGAAGAGCAGATCCGACTCATCCACTTCATAATTCATGACAATAGATCCAAACATCTTAGCCTCTTCCTGGGTCAGATCCCGGATCTCCCCGACCAAATACCTCTTCAAGCCCATGATCCACGACTCCTCGTCCTGCACTTGCCGGATCCGCTCGATCCGCAGCTCTCTCACGACTTCTTCTCGTAGAGAGTTTGGATCAGATCCCACACGCACTCCCAATCTAGCCTTAGATCGGGTCGTCATAGCTGATATCTGCCTGTGCGACCTCTTCTCCGACCTTCACTATCAGGTTCTCCTCCAACCGATTTAACGTTACGAGATCCTGGATCTCCGCGTCAGACTCTATCTCGATCCCACATTGCCGTTGCAGAGCGGCACTTGCTAGGCTGTCAGCACTGCCATTCCAGTCTCGTTTGACATGCAATAGTTCATGATCTGGCCACGTACGTAGTCGATCCAAGGCTCGCTGACGTAACAGTGTCAGACCCGGCGCCTTACAATCGATTTCCCCTCGTACTTGTCGGATCACCAGGTTTGAGTCTCCGCAGATCACCAGATGCCGTGGATCTAGATCCGCCAACAGATCCAGACATAGTAGTAGCCCATGGTACTCCGCCTCATTCACCGTCAAGCCTTCGGCATACCCTGATCTAGATTTTGAACACTCTCCATTCGGGAAGCTTCCACAAGATCGCGCTGTAGGCGCCTCCACCTCTCTTGACACGGGCTGATCCATCGAAACTGATGACATATAGCTTATCATCTTGTCTAATAGTGGGGATCAGAGCTTGGATCTTACGTCGTGGCTCCTTCTTGGGGGCGATCGAGATCAACGCCTTATCCACTTCTGATCT